GTTGTTCTTCTGGAAGGTTCTCCCTTCTCCACAGATGAACTCTGGAGCTCTGTCAGAGTGACCATTGGGTTCTTGGTCATCTCCCTGACCATTGGGTTTTTGGTCACCTCCCTGACCAAGGACCTTCTCCCCCGATTGCTCAGTTTGGCCAGGCGGCCAGCTCTAGGAAGAGACTTAGTGGTTCCAAACTTCTTCCATTTAAGAATGATGGAGGGCACTGTGTTCTTGGGGACCATCAATGCTGCAGAAATGATTTGGTACCCTTCCCCAGATCGGTGCCTCGACACAATCCTGTCTCGGAGCTCTACAGACAATTCCTTCGGCCTCATGGCTTGGTTTTTGCTCTGACATGCACTGTCAACTGTGGGACCTTATATAAACAGGTGTGTGCCTTTCCAAATCATGTCTAATCAATTGAATTTACCACAGGTGGACTCCAATCGAGTTGTAGAAACATCAAAATTATCAATGGAAACAGGATGCACCTGAGCTCAATTTTGAGTCTCATAGCAAAGGGTCTGAATACTTATGTAAATAAGGTATTTCAGTTTTTCAGTTTTTTTTAAAAACATTTGCAAACCTGTTTTTGCTTTGTCATTATGGGGTATTGTTTGTAGATTGCTTAGGGGAAAAAACAATTTAATCTGTTTTAGAATAAGGCTGTAACATAACAACATTTTGAAAAAGTCAAGGGGTCTGAGTACTTTCCGAATTCACTTTATTGATCAACAAAAAGGCAGGGATCCACTTTCTCCAACAATGTAACTCCCACTGGGCCCGAATCATCCTTTGCATGACCATCGGGGCGAGGCTCGGACTCAGAGGTCTTCACCACACATGCCACCACAGGTAATTCGTCCTTACTCTCGTCAGGTTCAATTTCTGAGACATCAGGGACAGCAGAATATGTTTTGTACTTGGCGCTATTCTTCCTCAACACACATCTTCACACTGCACTCGGCTCTTCTTCTTCCTCACTGTCGATAACCACGTCTAGCCGTTCACCACCCTCATGCGGCGTCTTCATCTGCTGTTCTGCTTGCAGAGCCTTTCTCCAATACCCACCTTCTGTTCCTTAGCCCAATTTACTAGTCTAGCTATCGCTGGCCTCTCCATGCTCCCAAGACGTGCCACAGTCGTCAGCCAGGTCTCCTCCTCATCATCCATCCATCTTCGCCACGAGCCATCCAACAACGTCATCTTCAGGGTCAAATGACGTATTTCCTGAAATGTCTGCGACCCGTGAAAGGCTGAAAAAAATGTGGTTTCCACTAGACAGCAAACCAATAAAGTCTAAATTGGCTATATTGAAAAAATGTATGAGATTTTTTAGTTTTTGCTTTTTTGTCTTAATTTAAGATTAGGCTTAAGGTTAGCAGTGTGGTTAAGGTTAGGACTAGGTTTAGAATCACATTTTAAGAAGATAAATTGTAGAAATAGGCTGGTTTGATGACTTTGTGGCTGTGGTAACTAGTGACGACCTGAATGGACAACAAGCTGCGTCAACCATAAATTATGGATCAGTGTTATACGGAATACTTGGGACGTCCCTACCCTAAACCCTAACCTTAACCCCTACCCTAACCAGAACCCACAAGTAACCCTAACCCTAATCTTAACCCTTACCTTAACCATTTTAAATTTCAACTTCAATGGGTAGGGATGTCCCAAGGTTCCCAGATAGCGCGGACCATAAATTATGACTCTATTGTCCTTCATTCCTGGTTTGGATTTCTCCTTTACCACAATGGCTGCCATTATCATCAAATTTTAGAACTTTAAGGGGTTTATGTCTAAGCCCCTCTAGCAATTTGATATGATTTCTATGCTCAGAATATGCGAAGAACCACCTCTCGGCACACCTAGTTGAAAAAATTTAAACAAAGACCAGCAAGCATCTTTCTCCATTTAATCAAGACTCAAACAAACATCTTTCTCTGTTTAGGCCTAATCAAAACTGTTATTAGTAGCCTACAATATCTGTGGTTCATGACACTGTGTTCCTCCGTGACCGTGAGAATGTAGGCCTACTGTGTTGAAATTCATAAGTTGAATGTCGTTTCTTTACTTACATGGTTAACAATGTGTTATTGATTTGACCACCCAGGTCCGAACAAACACATATTTTCGTAACTTTTGCCTCTGAGATGGTTCTTGGAATTTTAATTAGGCTTATGTCAATAAGATTAAGTCAGTTGTTTGTTCAAAACGTGTATTCTACTCTTCTCTGTCTTCTTCAAGAATGGCCTTACATATAACTGTAGTCTCACATGACCATCCTTCCAAATTACGTCTTGCTACTGTAGGCCTAATACAAATACAGTGGGGAAAAAAAGTATTTAGTCAGCCACCAATTGTGCAAGTTCTCCCACTTAAAAAGATGAGAGAGGCCTGTAATTTTCATCATAGGTACACGTCAACTATGACAGACAAATTGAGAAAAAGAATCCCAGAAAATCACATTGTAGGATTTTTAATGAATTTATTTGCAAATTATGGTGGAAAATAAGTATTTGGTCACCTACAAACAAGCAAGATTTCTGGCTCTCACAAACCTGTAACAACTTCTTTAAGAGGCTCCTCTGTCCTCCACTCGTTACCTGTATTATGGCACCTGTTTGAACTTGTTATCAGTATAAATGACACCTGTCCACAACCTCAAACAGTCACACTCCAAACTCCACTATGGCCAAGACCAAAGAGCTGTCAAAGGACACCAGAAACAAAATTGTAGACCTGCACCAGGCTGGGAAGACTGAATCTGCAATAGGTAAGCAGCTTGGTTTGAAGAAATCAACTGTGGGAGCAATTATTAGGAAATGGAAGACATACAAGTCCACTGATAATCTCCCTCGATCTGGGGCTCCACGCAAGATCTCACACCGTGGGGTCAAAATGGTCACAAGAACGGTGAGCAAAAATCCCAGAACCACACGGGGGGACCTAGTGAATGACCTGCAGAGAGCTGGGACCAAAGTAACAAAGCCTACCATCAGTAACACACTACGCCGCCAGGGACTCAAATCCTGCAGTGCGAGACGTGTCCCCCTGCTTAAGCCAGTACATGTCCAGGCCCGTCTGAAGTTTGCTAGAGTGCATTTGGATGATCCAGAAGAGGATTGGGAGAATGTCATATGGTCAGATGAAACCAAAATATAACATTTTGGTAAAAACTCAACTCGTCGTGTTTGGAGGACAAAGAATGCTGAGTTGCATCCAAAGAACACCATACCTACTGTGAAGCATGGGGGTGGAAACATCATGCTTTGGGGCTGTTTTTCTGCAAAGGGACCAGGACGACTGATCCGTGTAAAGGAAAGAATGAATGGGGCCATGTATCGTGAGATTTTGAGTGAAAACCTCCTTCCATCAGCAAGGGCATTGAAGATGAAACGTGGCTGGGTCTTTCAGCATGACAATGATCCCAAGCACACCGCCCGGGCAACGAAGGAGTGGCTTCGTAAGAAGCATTTCAAGGTCCTGGAGTGGCCTAGCCAGTCTCCAGATCTCAACCCCATAGAAAATATTTGGAGGGAGTTGAAAGTCCATGTTGCCCAGCGACAGCCCCAAAACATCACTGCTCTAGAGGAGATCTGCATGGAGGAATGGGCCAAAATACCAGCAACAGTGTGTGAAAACCTTGTGAAGACTTACAGAAAACGTTTGACCTGTGTCATTGCCAACAAAGGGTATATAACAAAGTATTGAGAAACTTTTGTTATTGACCAGATACTTATTTTCCACCATAATTTGCAAATAAATTCATAAAAAATCCTACAATGTGATTTTTGGAGAAAAAAAATCTCATTTTGTCTGTCATAGTTGACGTGTACCTATGATGAAAATTACAGGCCTCTCTCATCTTTTTAAGTGGGAGAACTTGCACAATTGGTGGCTGACTAAATACTTTTTTTCCCCACTGTAAGTACATCTAAATTCTAGAGATGGATGAATCTTAATTTCTATTACACACCATGTCTGTCTGTGTTTTTAAATCATGGTCTGAGGTGGTTCATTCTCGGTGGGTTATTATCAAATTATAACTTTTCATAGATAGGCTATAGGCTGCATTGCAAAAAAAGATGCTTATAATAAACATACAATGTTTCATAGAATGAAAAATATATACACAGTCAAATTCAGCAGACAATTTGGATCCACATAAAAAGCTTTATTTTCACAAAGGACCAGTTATCCAACCAGGGAACAATGCCACTGTACATTCGTGGCACACAAATGGTTAAGTGTGCGATATATTGCACTATGGAATGGATCACCAAGTCTTCTGAAGCTAGGGTAAATTATGCATTGCTGCTTAACATGCTAACTGTGCTTATTGCTGTTAGCATGTAGCGAAAATACATCAGGACTGCCTTTTCAGATATCTGTCATTAACCATTATATTTTGCATTTGGGAAGTGCACATTGAGGCATTGGAGGGGAATGTTTAATCATGTACAGTATTCTAAATTGGCACTAATGCCATTCTCGCTAGGAGAGATAGGAGAGAAAGTTAGCTGTCAATTCCACACAGGGCCAGTAGGATCTTCTCATAGTCTCCGTTGGTGTCATCCTTTGGGGGTAAGAGACAAGAGTTACTCTACATTTGACATTTTAGTCATTTAGCAGACCCTATTATCCGGAGCGACTTACAGTTAGTGAATGCATACATTTTTCATACAAAATATAAATCATGTTTAGACACCATAATATAACATTTTATTCAGACAATTATTTTCAGATGCCATATTTCCCCATTTCATACATGGTCAGTCTTCTATCCTATCTCGGATTAGACCCAGAAATCGGAATACTTCAATCAATGTGATGCATGTCTTTAAAACCTTGGACCCCGAATAAGCCTAGTCCTGGATTTAAACTCATTCTCAATGGAGGATCTGTTGAAAAAGCTTTTTAGTCTAGTACTATGCTTAATCTAGGTCGGGGAAAACGGTTCCTTATCTTTTATTGCCACTTTGGCAGTGGAGATGTTTGCTCACCAGAATTTCCTGGTAGAGGGTTTTCCCAAACGTCTTCTTATACTCCTGTTTGATCCGGACCATGTCCACTTCAGACCGGCTCACCATGACCCGGGTCAAAATCTTGACCCAGGTTCCTTTACCCTGGGGTATGGCACAGGCAAACAAACTGAAGATTTATAACCAGATAGTGCAAGCTCCTTAGCTTGAACCCAGATCTGTTTGTGCGGTCTTGTACATAACCAGTGTCTGTGTTCTTCTGTAGATTGTCAAATCTTAAAACAGGGTCGTATTCATTAGGTAGAAAATAGACAAACAGGTACACTGTACCTGGATTTGTCCGATAAGAAACACTCATTTTCGTTTTTTAATGTTTTAAAACATTTTCTGTTGCATACCCTAATGAACACGACCCAGGGCAACCTCTTATCTGGAACATAAAATGTACTGTAACTATGTTTAACTGTAAACACACCTTCATGGCCAAGTTGAGTCTCTCAGCAAAGAAAGCAGGCTTGCTTCCAGCACACTCACTGAAAGAGATCAGTCAGATGACATCATAGAGCAGCATAGACAAGAAGCAGCATTCTCCAAAGCTTTTGCAAGGGTATCGGAATGGTCATGAGATGACCAGTGCATTGCAGGAGTTGTATTAAAGCAAATGTGCCTTGGATAATGTGCCATCCCATCTATTAAAAAAGTTATGATAATTTTAGTCTCGAGAGACCAACATTAATTAGCTCACAGCGTGTGCTTTTTCTGCATGAGGAAAATTGAGGCCATAGTGTAATGTTACAGGACTGATGCCCAGTGAAGGGTGTGATACAGCAGAAGACATGGATTGAGGGTGATGCACAGATTATTTGAAGACATTGGAACATTACTAGGCTTGACCCTGGCTGTGCTCTCTCACCTACGGCAGTCAGACAGTTACATTTACATTTTACATTTTAGTCATTTAGCAGACGCTCTAATCCAGAGTGATTTACAGTTAGTGAGTGCATACATTTTTCATACTGTTCTCAATGTCTCCCTTCAGTTCCAGGTCAATAGCCTTTGTGACATCCACCTTACTGTACTTGGAGTACTTCTCACAAGATGAGAGAGAGAGAGAGAGAGAGAGAGAGAGAGAGAGGAGAGAGAGGGAGATGAGAGAGAGAGAGAGAGAGAGAGAGAGAGAGAGAGAGAGAGAGAGAGAGAGAGAGAGAGAGAGAGAGAGAGAGAGAGAGAGAGAGAGAGAGATGTACTTGAAATGCTCACACAGTATCAAATCATGTGTGGTTGCACATTCAGTGTATGAAAAAGGGAAAACCCCACGGACATCTAGATTCTAGTAGCATTCATCAGTGTCTAACTGATGACAAAAACAAAGCACCCTATTGATTGGGCTACAACGTAATTAACAGGTGGTGAGAAAAGATGTGTGTGTAATTAAATAATAATAATAATTTGGTGGGCACTTATATTTGTCCTATTGCTCAGATAAATAGATTTTGTTTAGCAAGTAGCTAATACTTTTTTTTCTCAAAAAGGTAGGGGTCAAAATTATTGACACCCCTAAAGATTATTTTAGATGAATAGATTAGATTAGTTTATTAGTCACATGCACAGGGTCACAGATGTAATCGTAGTGTACAGTGAAATTCTTGAGCGTACGTAAAAGTTTGTTGGGGGGATAGAATATGCACAGGAGGAGCAGCAAGGAGGGCAGGAGGGGGACAGGGGGAGCAGGTAGCTGCCCAGCCTGATGGTCTGGGGGTAGAAGCTATTGGCCAGTCTGACAGTTTTTGCCATAATACTCCATATACTGCCCGCATCTGAGTAATGGAAGCGGGGAGAACAGGCTGTGGCTCAGGTGGCTGAGGTCCTTGATGATCTTCTTGGCCTTTCTGCAACACCTGGCGTTGTAGGTGTCCTGGAGGGCCGGCAATGAACACCCAATGGTGCCCCCTTGTGGGGCCCCTCGTGTTGCGGATCAGTGTGGTGGAGGTAATGTTGCCTACCTTCACCATCTGGGGGCGGCCAGTCAGGAAGTCCAGGACCCAGTTGCATAGGGAGTTCAGTCCCAAGGTAGTGAAATTTGTGATGAGGGCACTATGGTATTGAAGGCTTTGCTGTAGTCGATGAACAGTAGCCTCACCTATGCATTCCTTTTGTCCATGTGGGTGAGGGCAGTGTGCAGTGCAATGGTGATGGCATCGTCCGTGGAACTGTCAGGGTGGGAGGCGAATTGGAGAGGGTTGAGTGTGTCGGAGAGGGAGGAGGTGATGGGGTCTTTGCACTTCATGATGACGGAAATGAGTGCTATGGGTCAGTAGCCATTCAGTTCAGTTACTTTCCCTTTCTTGGGCACTGGGATGATAGTGGACATCTTGAAGCAGGTGGCGATAACAGCCTGAGCTAGGGAGAGATTCAAAATGTCAGAAAACACAACAGCTAGCTGGTCTGTACATGATTTGAGGGCGTGGCTAGGGATACTGTCCGGGCCGGCAGCCTTGCAAGGGTTAACACGCTTGAATGACTTACATAAGTCCTCCGTGAAGTCCTCGTTGTCCTCAGGGGCTCTCCTCAGCAGCTCAGAGTCATTATGTTCGAAGCAGGAGAAAAATATGTTTGTCCGGTAGTGCAGCGTTTGTGTCCGCGACGTGACTGGCTTTCTTTTTGTAATCCGTGATCGTTAGAAGCCCCTGCAACATACACCTTGTGTGCGACCCGCTGAATTGCTCCTCCACTTTGTCCCTATACTTGTGTCTGGCCATCTTGACCGATCTGCGTATGTTGTATTTGTTCGGTTTAACCATACAATTGTCCCAGGTCTCTTGCCGTATTTATAAGGAGCATCTCTCTCCTTCAGTTTCCCGACAAGGCTGCCATCAATCCACGGTTTTTGATTCGGGTAAGTTTTGAAAGACACCATCGGTATCACATCATCTATGCATTTGTTTATGAATCCGGTGACTGAGTCGGCTCTGTGGTTGTCCCAGATTTTTTTAAAACTGAAAACAGAATTCCAGTAGCTTAACATAGCTACACTGGGGCATCGCAAAAGCAGTAGTTTTTTTAACCTGCTACACTGGAAGCGTAACTTTTGGGGCGAGCAGAACGCAAGCCACTTTATCCTATTGCTCTACAGCAGGGTTTCCCAAACTTGGTCCTGGCAACTCTCAACAACATTGCTGCCGTGAATTTCGCAGGTGCTATTTATCAACAAAGTTCAGTGGGAGAAAGTTTAAGTAGTGACACTAGTTTCTGGAGGACAATGCCATGCTGACTTACATGCGTTTACATGTGAATTCATAAATAGGTGCGGCTAAAGCTTAAGAGAGTGTGAACGATGCTGAATGGGCATGAACTAAGAGGAGCACTCTAACAAGGACATTTCTCCCAATTGTCCCCTTAGTGGTTTCACAAGTTTATCAACTTTCAAAGCAGCATAACTTACCATGTTTCCTCAAACTACAGTGTATGATATACCAGAAGCTCTGAGTCTGTACTTTTATAAAATTAGACTTAAGCTCACATAGAGCTGTGCCATCACATATTCACCTTGGCGGAGCTGAGGAGCACTTCTGGTGGTCAGAATGTCTATGAAGACAGAGCAGTCTGTTCCCTTCTTCTTCTCTCCAGCCTCATACAGGGCCTATGGACCGATAGAGTAGGCACAGGCATCACACACACAGGGATTGCATTACACATTGACTCTGGGTGCCAGTGCCCTACGTTCATTTCTTAAAAAATTCTGACAAACACTCTTGCTCTCCTCCATACCTTGGCATCACTGTCAGCAAGTTCCTGGTTCACTATGGTGTCCTCATTCCTAGTAGCCTACAGTATATGAGGGACAGAGAGGGGGCAGTGAGGTTAATTGTGCCAAACTATTCATCCGAGGTTAAACAAACTATAAATAAACACATACACACACATACCTTGCAGAGCGAGAGCAGAGCATTGCTGAAGTCTCCACCTGTCTCAGACTTGATGTCATTCTCCAGCTCGTTTTTGTATTCTAGCATGAAAAAAGCCATGATTATTGGCTTGTTGTAACTATCACATCACGTACAGGACATCTACATATACATATTTACATATTACACACCTTCCTTATAGGCTTTCTTTATCTCTTTGATCTCTTTATTGGTCCTGGAGGCCAGAATCTCAACCAGAGTATCCTCATCTGTGCCCAATCCCTGAGAGAGAGAGATAAGTGAGAGGGGCGAAGGGTCAACAAGGACAAAAGGGTCACATCAGTCATAAAGCTGAGACAAAAGAGCCCAGGATCGGATGACACAAACACAAAGAGCAGGCCCATGTTCATTATGCCCCAAATGGAAGAGAACAGACTGAAGCATGGCGCTACCTGCACCTACAGGTCTACCACTATGCCAGACACCTCCCAGCTAGCACATAATGTTCTGAGAACCGTATGGTTCTTAGAGCTTGGTGAGACCGTGGTTGTCCTATTATGGTTATTTAGCATACAACTTTCCCACAACTTTCTGGGAATGGTGCTGGATTGTTTCAAAGCCAAGCAACTTTCTCAGCACATTTAAGAAACTTGACAAAAAATGTTTTTCCATTGATTGAGAACAAAATAACGTAGTTTCAAATCTCAGTGAAGCTGTGCCAAAATTAAAAAGAAATGCATTTGCATTATTAATGCTTAAGCTAACTGTTCATCTGTAGCACAGTCAAAA